CCGCCTTCAGCGGGCCAGTGTTGGCCGCGCCCAGACTGTGGCCGGTGGGTGCTGGAGGCACAACGGGCTGGAGGTTCGAAGCTGACCCCGAGCCAGACACAGACAGAACTGAAACAGAAATTGTACAAGATGAAGCAGGGTCATGGGAGATATTCACACAATATGTACACAATACTCAAACAATACTCAAACAATACTCACACAATATTCACACAATACGTACACAATACGTACACAATACTCAAACAATACGTACACAATATTCACACAATACGTACACAATACTCAAACAATACGTACACAATTTTCACACAATATTCACACAATACTCAAACAATACTCACACAATACGTACACAATACTCACACAATTTTCACACAATACATACACAATACTCACACAATTTACACACAATACGTACACAATACTCACACAAATTTCACACAATATTCACACAATACATACACAATACTCACACAATTTTAACACAGTACGTACACAATTTTCACCCAATACTCATACAATTTTCACACAATTTTCACACAATACTCACACTCTATGCCACTGCTGAGGCTCTCGGCACTGGAAAGCCGCTTCAACTTCTCCTGCTGACGTTCCTTTTCCTTGCGGAGTTTCTCTTCCCTCTCACGCTCCTTCTTTTCCTCTTTCTCTCTCTCTTTCCTTTCCCTTTCTGCTCTCCTTCGCTCGTCCTCCTCCTGCCGTTGCTGCTGTCTGACTGCCACCTTCTCTTTCAACGACTGGGTCATGCTGAAGTTGCTCTCCTGTCAGATAAATCAGAACATCTCTAATTACCCTCAGTTATCTGACAGATCTCTAATTACCCTCAGTTATCTGTCAGATAAATCAGTACACCTGTAATCCTGACTGATAAATCTGTAATGATAAACCAGCAAAAACAAGCAACGCGTCATCTCGACAAGACAGACAGAGAACTGAACGGACACCGCGAGGACACGCAAGGAGAGGACATCCATCAGACACAGTGAGGACACACATCTGACACAGAGAGGACACAGAAGACACACATCTGACACAGAGAGGACACAGAAGACATATATCTGACACAGAGAGGACACACACCTGACACAGAGAGGACACACATCTGACACAGAGAGGACACACATCTGACACAGAGAGGACACACATCTGACAGAGAAGACACAAGGAGAAGACATACATCTGACAGAGAAGACACACAAGGAGAAGA